CTGGCAGGATTGCTATGGAGAATTAAGAAGGGACGGTGCAGTACTGGCGACTTGCTTGTCTGCAAGCGTTCAGGTGACCAGAAGACTGGAACAAAGGGTTAAATCTTTAATATGACTAAGGACAAATTGTGGTTCCTGTTTTTGTTAGTATCTCTTTCTGCCAGCTAAGTCAGCAGGCTCTATCTTCATGGGATCTTTTGGGAAGAACTCAATATCCTGTACCTGCTCTTTCATTAACACTTTTCCTCCAGCTGGTTCTTGCTGACGGTGAAGGCCATGTTGCGTCCATCTGCATAAACATAACCTTTCATAATTCACTACGGTAAATTTAACGGGTGATTTAAAACTGTAGCTGATAATTTTGCCTCTCCAAACTGCTGTGCCCTTGGGAAGGAGAGGAGCACATGTGCAGCTGACAGATCTGTGGTAACAGCCAAGAAGCCTGCCCGTTTTGCGAATTTTTTGGGCTGCCTGTGCTAAAGGAAACAATCCACCCTCTGGACTTCAGCTCTGTCTGCGTCCGTGGGTTTGACTTGCTGAAAGCAGCAGCTTCTGCAGCTGCTGGTAGTACATGGCTCTTTCCGAGGGAAGAAGCGTTGTTCTCTGCTTCCTCTCCCAAAGTGCTGCAGGGAGTTTCTGTGCCCTGTTGATCCACAGAGCATTTTGTTTTAGAAGTGGGGTGTATCAGAGCTGGGGGAAGTGATTCAGCCTGTGGGGACCGGCTTGGCTGTGCGTGTGTGTTCATGTACCTAAAGATCACTTCCTTGTCCACTGATTTCCAAATCAAAGGAATCACAGTCCCTTCTGGTCGAGCTCCTAACCCAGGCTGGCTCCTGCCACCCCTCCACTCTGCTGTGCAATGTTAAGCGATGAACAGAGCCTGATTAAAACCCACCTTCCTAATGCTGGAGCAGAAAGCTTTTCCAAAGCAAAGTGAGACCTCTTGAAGAAAGAGAGGGCCTTGCAACTAAGTTTACGCCAAAAGAAGCTATCTCGGCCTCAATCTTTCTGTGACTTGATAGCAGGTAGATTTTGGACCACACTATGTGACGGGTTTGCATGGATACCAAGTCGTATTTTCCTGTCTAAGCGGCTGCTACTATTTTTATCATTCATACAGTTCCAGCTTTCATGCATACTAAGTGCTGGCCCCATTCCAGCTGTATTCCTACGCAATCCTGGAACACTCCTCCCAGTTTTATTTGAATGCGGCATTTCCCGGGCCTCGCTCTGCAGTCTCCTGCCTGCTCTGATGCGCCGGGGAAGAGCTGCTGCCCTTCGCTTCAGGGCTGGTTCCGTTTCGGCAGGAGGCGAAGCGAGCGCGCGCCTCCCTCGCTGTGATGGCGATGGGAGCTTTAATTAGCTAATTTTTTAGAATTGCAGTTGCGGGTTTGGGTCGATGGTGTTATTAGTGGGGAAGACATTACTTTTTGTTAAAGGGCAAAGCTAGAAGGTAGGCTGGAGCTTGCTGATTGCTTTTCTGGGAACTGCATCACTAACCTTAAAAAAAACCCTACTGAAACGTGAACTTTTCCAATACCATGTGATGGGAATCTCAGTATCTGCTGCTGTTTTAATCCAGTTTCACCTGAGTTCCTTGTTAAGCGTAGCACACAGGTATGCCTATCACAAGGGCATTATTTTTCACTGGTAATATAAGAGTAATTTTAAGCATATCTGGGAACTGTTTGTCCCACAGAGCCCTCTGACACTTTGTCCTTTAAAAGCTGTGATAGCTCAGCTGGTGCCATCACTAATTTTGTTATAAATCCTCAATGGGAGGACAGTGATGATAAGGACTGGGAAGCATGCCAGTCCTCCGAGAAAGGTTTACCTGTCTCATAAATTCCTGGGTATGCTGAAGGGAGGGAAGGAAGGAGAGAAGAAAATGGTGAGAGCACCTAGGGTGAAGTGGGCTGTCTGGGATAGTGCTGCGATGAGGCGGATAGTGCCGGACTCCTGCCTTTGGGCATTGATTGAGATAAGTGAGGCCTTAGTATCCCTACAGGAACTGTCCTCAAGGCTGTGTGTTCTGGTTATCCACGCAGGAGGGCTGGGCAAGTGGCGTGTGCGTTGTGCTCCCTGGGTCCCTGGAGCCACATGTTCATCTTCTGCTTTACTCAGCTGATCTCTTGATTATTTTCCCAGATCAGTAATTTAACTTCTATGTGCATGTTTATAGCCTGGGGGGAGATAGAAGAAAAATCTTTCAATGAACAGGAAGTAAAAGCAGCATCTTCATTGTTCTGCATGTCTTCTCTCTGCTTTTCTTTGAGTCAAGCCGGGCACTGTTCAGGTGGTGTTTCCAGCTCAGAAAGGGCTGCATTTTGGTGGTATGGCAGAAAAGGGCTTACCGTGAAGACCATTAGCACTTTTGAGGATGAAGGGCATTAAGGAAACTCGGAACAGTGATGTCTGTATTCTGGGGAGCTGCTGCCAGATGAAAGTGTACTTCAAGTGTACTCAGATAAGCAACCTGGAAGGTGCTAATTCCTTCCCAGATCTGTTACTCTTGTGATCATGAGCCCTGGCTCTCATCTGAGGGACTAATTTGGCTGAACCAATGTAGCGCAGCTGGGAGGGAGTCACAAACGCATCTCAGTGCTGTCATTCTGTGTTTTCTTCACTGCCCCTGTAAATTGGTGGTCCTTGTGGAGCTGCAGGTCGCTGGTGGTCTCTGTCAGTGGGCTGCAGCTCTTGCACGGTACAATGTTAAAAATAAATAAACTCAGCACACAGTACTCAGTGCTTTTGAAGGATCACTGTGGTCAGTTAGACATGGTACTGGTGCCTGCTGCCCAGCCGTGCTTTTTGAGCGCACTGAGTGTTTTATTGTCCTGCCACGTGGCTTGTCAGAGCAGAGCTGTGCATCACTCCGTGTGCTGCAGGGCTGCCACCGCCTGCCAGTGCTAAATGGTGAATATCTGTGTGTATTCCTTGGGCAAGAGGAGCAGCATGAGCCCCGCAGGCTTATTGAGCATCACTCTCCCAACATCTCTAGTAATGAGGCTCCCTTTGGGAAAGGTGAACAAATACAGTCCGCTCCACCTCTGACCTCTCCCAGCAAAAGCAAGTGAAGGTGCTGTTTGTAAACAGGTTTATTGTAGTCTGCCAGTGCTGGAAATGTTGACACCTAGAAACTCTCCCAGAGACTAATCAAGGACCCAGCTCAGATGAGTGACCTGCATGCAAATTCCGCAGCCCTTCCTCGAGCCGTTTTTCAGAGCTCAGCCCTTCAGATCCCG